ACAAGATGATGTCTTTGCCCCCAACAGCCCTACCAGCTTCCCTGCAGCCCAGAGTTCCAGTTTTGCCTAAAAAAAATTACAGGTTTTGACGTAATCCAAATGATCCCAAGGATATTTGCAGCTTTCTTCACTCATGGTATCACTGAGACCAGCCAGAAAAACCCATTTCTAAGCCCCCATCCCCACACTCACACATGCATTTTGTACAGCTTGTAACTAAGTATTCATCACCAGGAACCAGAGTCTCAGCAATTTTTAATACATAGAATGCTCCAACACATGCCAAACACAATGAAATTTGATTAAAATAGAAGCCATTTGTTTAAATACAAATTATTTGGCTCTCAAAACCGTTATCAAATTGAACTGGAAATCAAATTAACCAGTGCCTGAATGAAGTATACAGAAGGCTGTATAACCACTGATCCAGCAGCTTGAAAGGAAGGATGCAATCACATTCCCCTTGTTTGTGGCACTGCCCCATGCTCCCAACAGAACTCCTTCTCCATCTCCCAGGGCCTGAGTATGCTCTGTGCCTCAGATATGGCTCATTCCTTGGTAATCCAGAAAGCAAATGCTCCTTGCGAAAACACTGATCCATTACCAGATAACAGAGTATCACTGTGAAAGGACACACTGACACCTTTGAAACCACCTTGACTTGGGACAGAACAGCGCAGCCATTCCCAGCACACTTGGCAAGAACAGGTTTAAACCTGCTCTGAACGAGAAAGGGGTTTTGCTGCCATCACTGTCCAGGTATTCAGCTTCAGTTGGTGTAACTGTGACAACCCCATCCCTCACAACTGGCCTCATTTTAGCTCTATTTCGCCCCTTTCTGCAGTCTTCACAAAAAGGAATTAAAACCATGTAAGTTGATGATTTTAGGTGTTGCCTACTCTTAAAAGCAGTTTGGATACATTTAAGGGTCTGTTTGAAGAGCATCAGGCACTCCTGAGGAAATCGCAGCAGGGAGAGGATCCAATTACACTCCCTTGCATCTTCTGTAGCACATCAAGCGAACTCAGCTGAACATCCTTTACCCACCAAGAGTGAACTGTGGAAACTTCATCAGTCCCCTTCCCTGATTCTGCACCAGACTTGCTTCTGAAAAACAGGAACATCACGAAACTCCAACTTTAGCACTCACTCCTGTACAATTCCAGCTTTCTTTAAGCCGTTACAAGGAGAAGGCTACTGGGAAATCTCACTACACCCTTCCAATACTTGAAGGAAGATTATAAAAAGAAGAAGAGTGACTTTTTATACAGGCAGAAAGTGGCAGGACAAGTGGAACAATTTTAAACTCAACAAGGAGACTTAGATGCATATCGGGAAGGAATTCTTCCCTGTGAGGCAGGGAGGCCCTGGCACAGGGTGCCCAGAGCTGCTGTGGCTGCCCCTGAATCCCGGGCAGTGCCCAAGGCCAGGCTGGGGAGGGCTTGGAGCAGCCTGGGACAGAGGAAGGTGTCCCTGCCTTGGCACGGGGTGGTACAAAAGCAGCTTTAAGGTTGCTTCCAACTCAAGTCATTCTGGGATTCCTTGGCTCCCACCTCTTTCTAGGATTGCAGAAGCAGCATTTAAACATCCTAAAGCCTAAAGAGCTTTATCGTTTATTTCAGCCTCACCTGAGCACCTTCTCACATAATTTACTTTTTCTGCAGTATTTCAGTGCCAGAGAAGGGCACCAAGCCCTCGCCTACCTCCACCTGGACAAACACAACCCAATGCAAAGCACAGAGGTAAATAATTCATCTGCGTGCAAACAGAGGGAAAGAACAATTAAGCCAGAAAGCACAACGGGGACGTTTCAGATTTCAGTCAACATTAAGGCAGGAGAGATCAAACAAAGAAATACCAACGGGGCTGCCTCAGAGGGAACTTTGGGGAAGCTGGAAACACTCACGGCAAGGCACGGGAGGGCAGCAGGACTAAAACCCGGGTTTTATCGGGGTCCCAGCCCGAGCCGGCCAGGCTTTCCGAACCGCCCTTCGGAGGACAGCGGCGAACGGGACGGGAGCTCCGTGCTGGCGCTCGGAGCCAGCGTGCGGGGCGCCGACCCGCCGGCCGAGCCCCGCGGAGCCGCTCCGCCGGAACGGCCCCGGCCCTCCGCGGCATCCCCGGTGCCCCGCGTCCCCTCCGTGACCGCGCCTCTCGCTCCCGCCCCGAAGCGCTGCCCCGGCCCGGGGCCCGCCAGGGCCAGGGGCTCCCCGGGCCGCCCGGGCCGGGCTCTCCGGGCCGTCCCTCCCCGGGCCGTCCGTCCCCGCCGCGCGGCGCTCCCGGGCCCCCGCCCGCCCTCACCTGCCCCGGCCGCCGCCGCGCCGCGCCGCCGGAAGCCGCGCGCGGGGCATGCCGGGAGTTGTAGTGCGGCCGGCGGACACGCCCCGAGCGGAGGACACGGCCCCGGAAGGGCGGGTTTGGGGTGGGGGCGTGTGGGTCAGGGGGATTTGGGGTCAGGGGGGATTTGGGG